ACCACAGTAGCACCATATCAAGCATCTGTCCTAGCTGTATCAACACTCCCAACATCCTAAGATGTTCAGTCAAGTGTCAGTGCCTGTAATCCAGAACAACCAGCAGATGATCATTTAAAGCATTGGGAAAGCTAATGATGCACTGAGTTGTGTGTGTGTGTATTTGTGTGCCAGCAAGCCATGACAATAAAAAGACAAGGTGCATTTCTGAGAGTCCAACCACTGAGTCAGATAAAAAAAAAAAAAAAAAATCTGTGACTGTTTTGGTAATTGATTCATCATTGATTATTTGTCAACTCTGGCTTCTCAAATTGTATGTGTTTTATTTTACTGTAAACTAAATACCTGAATCTTGGACTGCTGGCCAGGCTGATGAAATAGTTCTAAGGTGACACTTTGCTCTGTTAACTTGTAATAGGCAGTTTTCATTATTTTACAGAAAGATACTACAATTTTTAAATTCCAAAAAAAGGTCCACTGATAAACTGATATTTATATATATGAATATTGCTCTCCCAAGCGGTGTGGTGACCATCCTCTCACAGATTATTTTTCGGTACGCATGTTCTCTAAAATATCACTAACAGTTTTCAAATATCAACATGCCATAATGACAAAAAAGTAATAAAATCACAATAGATTACTGCAGAAAAATACAGCAGTTTGGGGAGACATCTTGTCTTATTTGTCACATCAGTTGTTCAAACCTGAATTGAAGTCAAGCTTTAAATGATTTATATTAATATTAAGCATGCTTTTGAACTTTGACACCTGATTCTCAACATGTTTCCTCTTTATAAATTTTATGGAGTTTGAAATTACAGACCAACCTCATTATAAAATACAATGTTTAACTCTGTTTTGGTATAAATACTCCACAGGACCCAGCAGTGAAATGATACTGTTCATACCATCATGTGGTTTAATCATCTCATTGACAAAACATTTATTTATCCTACCATCTGTGCATTTTTAAACAGTTTTGGTGAGTGACAGTTTAGTGAAGTGACACTCACCATGATGGAGTACACCAGTGCGACAATGCTGACCGGCCACACGGGGCAGAAGCAGGAGATGATGACCAGGATGACATAGTCCCTGGGCTTCGGGGCGTCCTGGACGGTGGCGTTCCCGGTGGAGGAGCGGCTCAGACTGGCCTTAGACGGGGAGAGGGGGGCGGCGGCGGCGAGCTGCCCGACAGAACCCGATCTCAAAGCGACGCTGTGGCCGTTCTGGTCGGCTTCCAGGCCCTTGTCACTGTCCATGTTGACCGTGAAGGAGCTGGACAACTTCATCCCATCTCCTCCAGGCTCCGTGGTCACCGCCAGTAGTTTCTCCGTCTCCTGGGAGTCCGCTGGCCGAGCGCCTCCTCCACCCTCACCCAGGCTGGACTTCTGGAAGTCGGTGTCCGTGTTGATGGCCATGCTCTACTCTCACTTGAATCAAAATAGGAATAATTTTAAAAGCTTGTCTAAAATTGACTACAAATCAGGAGATACCGACATTCCGCACCGAAGCTGAACGCAAGTTTTTACAACTGGGATCAATTTTGATTGGAGGAGCGCGATCAGCCGCAGTGTAGCCTATTAAATTGAGAAAAATGAAATTATATGAAACTTGATGATGTGGTTTGAAAGCTCGGGTGTAATGGATCAATCCCCTAAAAGAAATGAATAAAATCAGAGAGAGGATGAAAGCAGCTTGACTCCTCTAGATATCATTCTTCCTTTTGAATCACTTTCCTTCACCGTCCTTCACATCCGCTGCTTGACTCATTTCCAAAGAGCATCAGAAAACCTCTTCTCTCTGATACATCCAAACCGGTCAGAGCTCCTTGATCCAGTCGCACCGCTTTATTTTAGTTTTAAGTGTGTGTGGTCGTTGAAAAAGTAGCCTCAGTGCTTTTCATTCCTCTCCGGAAGAAAGAAGAGTGAGGATGAAGCGTCCCTGTCGAAGCAGACTCTATAATGAGCCACTTTCGCATCCTCTCCTCCACTGTGGCCAAGATGCAGCAGCACAGCCACTCTCAACTTGGGACCACTGTCAAGGTACCACATGAAAATAAATCACTTCCTGCAGCTAAAAACAAAATAAAAGCTTACAGTGAGTGAAAATAATAGATTTGCATCAGGTTAAAATATGATCACTCTTGTTCTTATTAAACTTCTCTGTGAGTAGCAGCACTTTCTCTGTCTGGGCTCCACAGCTCTGTAATAACCTCTAACTGGGAAGGAGGCAAACAACCTCAAGTGGTGTCCTGACCCCTGTTAAAACACCTCTGTGCCACAGAAACATACCACTGCACCGGGTGACATGTTTCCTCATTACAAAATACAAGACCCTTAAATAAATAAATAGATAAATTTGATCCAAAGACTCTGAATGGGCATGATGTTTTACAGCATGTGAAGTAAGCAAGTGTCAAGGGCCCATGAATAAGATCTCTGGATTCTTAACAAATATTAGGGATGTTTTTAAACTCTACATCTGAAATAAAAGGTATTTATTTTATTTTATACTGTCGCTAATATATGAAGTTGTAGTGGCACAAGTAAATAAATAAATAAACTGACTGAGGTGCTCAACTGAGGATAATAATAATAATAATAATAATCCATCCATCCATTATCTATACCACTTTTCCTGAAAAGTCATGGGTGGGCTGGAACATTCTGTGTTAAAAAGCAATGTGTATATATTATATGGCTCAGATGTTATAGGGCAGCTTGGCTGGTAACTGTGGGTGTGTTTGTTCAAAATCCAGCTCTTTCTATTTACATTTCAGTGTTCGAAAGCAACACCGAACCCCAGATAACTCCCGGTGGAAGATACTATCTGAATGGGAAAACAATGCAAGCTTCTTTGAACAAACGTTTGACAAATGAATGCAGTATATGACTGAAAGAGAAAGGACTCCGTTTGAAAACTACAGTTCATGATGTAGGCCTACTTGTGCATAAAATATAAATAACACAAAAATAATCAGTTTAGCAATAAAGGCAGTAAAGACCACAATGACACAAAATAATATCTGTTTATTTCCTTTCTTCAAAAATCTGACAGCTAGAGGTTTTATTTTGAATAGACAGTTCTCATGCTTCCAGTAGGTAAACTGGCTGACTTGAAGCATCTCATGTTGGAGCGGGACAGTCTGGTTCCCTCCTCCTCCTCCTCCTTCCCCTCCTCCTCTTCCTCCTCCCCCTTTCTCTCCTCCTCTCAACACCAGCACCAGTGTTTTATGGAGGAAAGCCAACAGCAGATTGTGGTGCGATGCAGAATTGACTGGAGCCTCGTGGTGTAGTCCAGGACAAGGATGCCAGTGGCATCACAAATCAGCTCGTTCTATGACAGTTTTCCAAATAGCACTGAGAAAATATTTTACTGGATCTGAAAGGAAATCCCCCTTGAGATAAACTGCATATGGCCTCCAATGGCTGCTGTATAAAACCACAGTTTTAGTCTTTTTGTGTACTGGCCTCAGATAAGGAAAGACTTTCAGTAAAATCTGCATTAGTCCAGGTAGATATAATGGTCTGAATGCTTGAATGTTGAATCATGATCCTTGGTGGGTTTTATCTTTGATTGGCTCCTACTGATTTTCCTCATTATTTGTCTGGTGCATTATAGCACCGGCCTCATTTCCCAGGGTGGAAGCTACACTGCACTGTGACCTGTAGTGTTGCTGGAGACGGTGCAGCTAGTGATGCGAGGGGATTCCCTGAATGAAACACTCTGATGCAGTTCTATAGATTTAATATTTCAGTGCACAGACTAGGTGCATTCAAATGTGTTTGTCAGTACATTTTTGTGCTCCTTTGTCATGGCTTTCAGGAAACACCAAGACCCCCTTTGTATTAAACTCCTCCATCCATCCTCTACCTTTCTGGCTACAAAGCTTTGTCCCTCTCCACCTTCTTAAAAACATCCTGCAATAAGGTGCTCAAAGGGAGGAAGACAAGCAGTACATACAAACCAGATCATTAATTTTTACGAGCCCCTAGACTCTTCATGAAGGACTCTTAGACTCAGGGTACTTTCTCCAACAGGGTTTTGCTTTAGTCAGAAGGATAACTGTGGTCAGAGCCCCACCTTGTGGACAGGCAGGGTTCTTTCAAGACTTGGTTTCTGATTGAACAGTGTTAAAGGAAAATAGTGGCTGAGGGTAATATATGACTTCCATCCAGCCATCCATCCATTATTTATACCACTTATCCTGAACAGGGTCGCGGGGGAGCTGGAGCCAATCCCAGCTGACATTGGGCGAGAGGCTGGGTACACCCTGGACAGGTCGCCAGTCTATCACAGGGCTGACTAATATACTGTATGACTTTTGAAAAAAAAACAAAAACTGTTGAAATCCAAGAAGGTATCAGTAGCAGTCAAATAGTAATGGATGGATGATATTTCCTACAGATGACAAAGAAATATCCCATAATTTGACTTGACTGACTGATTTCTAAAATAATTACTCTCATTGAAATCATGCATCCACAATCTACACATTTATAGGTAGGCTACATCTTTAGGACTTGCTAAAGATACAAATGCGATTCATTTGCAATACTAACAAGCCATTAAACACATAATAAATGCATTAAATATTAACCATGACATTCTTTTAGAAAGATGAAAAGTCCTTAATTTAACTTACATGTACAGTAAGTTCCCTCAATCATAGTTTCAAGGTAAAAAAAAGACTAAAAGCTAAAACCTTTGAGTTTATATAACCTCCTGATTGAATAAACTAGGATCATTTGATTATTTTAGTGGTGAATAAAGATCAAATTAAATGTGGAGATCTGTGATTCTATTTTAGCACTCAGCTGATTGTCCCGTCTTAGGCACTGTCTCTCCTGATCAAAACATGCCCTTGTACTTGTTCCTATCCTCCTGGTTTTTCTCCTCCATACGCATGTTAAGCACTGCCAGCTCCTTCTTGACGGTCTTCTTCATGCTGGGGTCCAGATCCAGCACCCTGCTAAAGTCCTGCCGAGCCTCTGCCTCATTCCACACCTCCACATGGGCCTTCCCACGAAGGTAGAAAGCCTTCATTACACCTAGAGGACAAATGCAAACATGCATGTTTGACAGCAGCCAGGGAGGGACGTCTGCATCCCTACAGTATTAAAAACTGTGTGCTAGATGACTGTTGTTAACTGATGTGAAATATTTCCAATAATTGAATAACTGCTTCACAGCTTTCTTTTGCTTCTTTGGTGTGCATCTACAACATGAATATATACAAGTATAGATTGTGCATGTCAGTGCAGTGAAACAGTGGCACCAGTCCTTTTATAGGGTCTAACATTATAGACACGTGAAACATACAGTTACAGCCGCCATAAAAACATTCATAAACACGCACTGTAAAAAACATACACAGCTTGTTAAAGGCAGAATAAACCGAAAGGCTGAAATGCTTATGCAGCACCTTTTACACTCATAAATGAACTAGCTGGAAAGTAAAAGAAAACCTTTTCCACTTTAGTACAGTCACACACATCAGTCTGCGTCAGTGCCAAACCTGGGTGCTGATTGATAATGTCGCTTGTGTGCTCGATGACTTCATAGTACTCTTCCATGCGCAGTAGACACTGGCAGTAGTTGAGGGTTAAGGTGTTGGCCATCTTCTCCAGTTTCAGCCACAGGACCTCCCATGCCCTCTCCTGCAGAGAAAAGTACCTCAGATCCACTGTGAGATCCATGTTGTGTCAAATGCTGCCCACACTGTTCTACAGAAGCAAATTATATTCTATGTTGAGCAAATCATTTGATTGAATCACCTTGGCCTGAACATTCTTGATGCAGATGATGGCCTCTTTGTACTTCTGAGTGGCCTCTTGGTAGCGTCCCTGTTTATAAAGTTTGTTCCCCTGGCCATGCAACACCGGCACCGCCTTCAGCCTCTCCTCATCACTCAGAGCCCACGACTCCCTGTTGTATTCACTGGGCTGCTGCACCTGTAAAGCACATGGTAGTTTGTTTCCACAAGTTAAAGTAGTTTAAAACAGTATGGTCTTTGGCACAAATTTGTTCTGACCTTTCTCACCTTGAGCAGCTCCAGGACAAAGTAGAGTGGCTTTGGTTCTTTCATCAGTTCATCCAAGTCATCATAACCAAGGCTGTGGTAGGCGAACATGTTGGCCATGCCACAAGTATGGATGTGCCAGTCAGCTGGGTCTTTGCCTTCTGCAATGTGTCGCATGCTCTTGGACACGAGCGGGTAAACGCCGGTGTGCTAGAGCGGAAGGACAAGAATCTGTAGATAATGATGATCTACCTTTGTGAATGGTCTTAAGTCTAGATTTAAGGCCTGAGGTGACCAAGGTTTGACATTAGAGCTTCTTAATCTTAATTTGCAATAGTTGCTGCCCATCTTAGCCCTAGTGCCTCTTTGTGACATCTGTGGCTTATAGCTTTGCTCATGAGTTTTTGCGTTTTCCACTGTCGACTGAATAAAGCAGCTTGAGGGTTTGTATTAAAATGACATCATCACACCTGAACTGTGGAGTTTTCCCATTTAATACAGACCTCGCAGTGTGTCCCCTGAAGGTGTCACTGAGCTCTTCAAGGACCAACCCTGCTATCATGTTAAACTGACAGTTTTGTATGTTTAATGGTTAAATTCACTGTTTTGATTTTATAATTGATTTTTACCTGTAGCTGAGTGGTTACAGAGCGGCACACTGCATGCACAACATCAATAGATCAAGCCTGACTGCTGATGTTTGTTGCAGGTCCACCTCTTGGCAATTTATTGTAAATAAAGACAAAAAAGCCCAAATTTTATCCTTAAAATGATATGTCTTAATTTTTTTAAAACAAATTTATAGCATTTATAAAATTGCTTCTGTTGCAGCATTATAATTCTAAACATAACAAACTAAGTATTTCATGGTTAAATTGATTTTTATTGTAATCTTCCTCAGTGGACATGTGAAAACATGAAAACTTATTCTTATACACTGACTTTGCTTTGTTGCTTTCATGCACTGAAAAGTGATGTGATGACTATTTCTGTACTTACAAGAAGCCACAAATGCCTTCCACTGGGTGGGAGTGACACTATAGAACATACAGAACAGTGGGGCGTGTGGAGCAGCCATGTTGTCCAGAGGCCTGACTACATTCTCTCAGGAAACGTGCCTCAACCCATCTGTCTCTGACTGTGTGCGCCACTCTTACATGCAGACCAGATATGTTTGCTCCATAACATGTCTCTGGTAAATGGGCATGAATGTTTATAGCAGATATTTCTATAAGCTTTCATAACAGGAAGATGTCACAGAGAAACAACCTCCATAAAGACAAAACATTACTCAGAAAGGAAATATGCAGGGAATCCTAAACTGAAAGTGAATCAGACGTCCCTGAGGCCCCTGTTTTGTAGCCTGTTGGTCCTGCTTTTAAAAAGTTGTAAAAACATTACATTATTTTTAAAATTCATAACCATAAGAGTTATCAAGGAGGGTACAATATATTCTTGTGCTTGATGCTTAGGTTTAAATTTATAACTGGGACACATCAGACTTGTCTTAGTGTATTGTTTTTCTGCTTGTTATTGAGAGCAGAGTGTTTAACTTCCACATCTGCAGCGTGACATCGTTCTGTGTAAAGTTCACTGTCACATTTCTCACTGGGCTTAACAGCAAACAAGCAGGAAGGCATGGAAACATACACCCTCCACCCTCCAGCAAGCACTTGTTAAAAAGCTACAAAATTTTCTTTTAGCACTCACAGTGGTGTCACACCAGAACTCGGCCACCTCACCAATCCTCATGGAGGACAACAGGGTCTCCCAGATGTCCAGTTTAAACATGTTGCCAATCACTATCTCCATGGGCGTTCCGACCACTTTGCTGTCATCTATCACTGTACGTTCAGCATCACACAGTTGGGTGCGAAAGTGAAAGGTGGCCTGGAGGAAAAAGGGCCATAATAAAGAAGAACCATGCTCAGAGAAAGCTAAAAATATCAAGCTTGTGCATG